CACCCACACCCACACCCACACCCACACCCACACCCACACCCACACCCACACCCACACCCACACCCACACCCACACCCACACCCACCCTGTAAAATATTCTTCAGTTAAGCATCCAATGGACTGTCCTCCATTGTCTCCAATGTCGACAAGTCTGTATTTTCTATCATTTGCGCCTTCTAAACCAACCAACCAATGTCAACAGTACAATATTCATAGTTTCCATTGGGAAAAAAGACACTTTTTTTAGAAATATAAAAGCTTAACTTACAGCCAAACTAGTAGAACGAGTAGATCATATGATTGATAGCGGCCATACATACTAGAAGGACGTCAGTACCAAAAAATTGATACACAACAGATAAGCACATCGATCACTGCAACATCGAAAATCTCTATAACTTATGGTCTGAATTGTCAAGGTAAACCATAGATTAATCTATGCAATAGAAGTCGAACTGAAGTATCTACTATCGTTAATAAGGAGGTAGCTCAGTCGAGACGAATAGGATTCGCATCACATCAAGAAGTTTTACTGTATCCTATTTATTTCTACTTACTTTTCGTCGTTAATGATAACATGACATCTGTATTTAAGGAGAATCAAATCTTGCATTAAAATACGGAAAAAAATTCTACAGTTGTTACAAGGCAGGGCAGATTACAGGTTATGTGAAAAATTGCAGAGCAGGGCAGGGTCACGTTACGAAAATTTTTATAGGGTAGGTGGGTCTTCGAAAATTCGTCGCTATGAGAAATAATCGACTATTTTGTAATTAAATGAAAAGAATGTTTCAAAATAAAGCTATCAATTCGAAAGATAAGTTAAACAATCAAAATCATTAGTAACAAGGTTAGCAATGAAATCTTCTTTTTTCTATTAAAGTCTAATGGCTTTTAATGATTTTCTTCATTTCGAAGACTTTCTGTATTTCCAGAGGATCGCAGGAGATTTCTCGTCGTTTTCTCTTTACTTCTAAAAACTTTTGATAGTTTATCTTAGTTTTAGATCTACAAAAAATGAACAGTCTCCGCTGAAAGATATGGATAAGAATAAAAGAAATTTAGTAATCAATTCATTCACTCTTACGAACATCTACACTACTGAGTCATGCACCTGCTTTCGTCTATTCTGCAACAATTAGAGACACTCTTATAATTTAGAAATTTTCATTTTTTGTATGTATAGTTCAGGTATCTTCAACGATTGTTATTCTGTCACATAATTTCATGAATATACTTCGTGTTCTTGTAATTTTTAACTTGCTGGAGAGAATCGATATTTTTCATCGAAATAGTTAATTGTAACTTTGTTATTAATCTCTCGACCAATTATCGTATCAACCAATTTACGTATGCACTAATTTTCGCATCGACTAATTTTCGTAGCGACCAATTTTCATAGTGACCAATTTTCGGCGGCTAATTTTTGTTCGACCAATTTTCGCTTTCCCAGGACAGGTTACAGGTTGTAAAAAATTATGTATCCTGTAGCTCTCTACTCATTTTCCTATCCTATCACTAGTTCATTGTTTAACATAGACACTTACTACACTAAATTTTGAAACAAATTTAATCTATCCAGAAGGAGCACAATATCTTGCCGATGCTCTCAAAGAAAACAAAGTAGCATTCTTCTCTTATTTTTATATCCTATCACTCACTTGTTATTTTACACAGACACTCACCACATTGAACCTCGAGAAAAATGAAATCGACTCACAAGGAGCAAAATATCTTGCCGATGCACTCAAAGAAAACAAAGTAGCGTTCTTCTCTTATTTTTATATCCTATCACTCACTCATTATTTCACACAGACACTTGTCACACTGCATCTTACGTTGAATCATATTGGGGACCAAGGAGCACAATATTTTGCCGAAGCTCTCAAAGAAAACAATGTAACATTCTTCTCTCAGTTGCTCATCCTATCATGCACTCATGATTTCACATAGACACTCATCACACTGAACCTCCAATTGAATCAAATCTATTCAAAGGGAGCACAAGATCTTGCTGATGCACTTCAGGAAAACAAAGTAACATTCTTCCCTCATTTTCTTATCGTATGACTCATTCATTATTTCATGCAGATACTCACTACCCTGGACCTCAGTTACAATAGAATTTGTGATCAAGCAGCACGACATCTTGCAAATGCTCTCAAAGAAAACAAAGTAATATTCTTCATTAATTTTCATTTTCTATCATTCACTCATTAATTTCATGCAGACACTCATTACACTGAGTCTCTACCAAAATGAAATCGATCAACAAGGAGCAGAATATCTTGCTTATTCTCTACAAGAAAACAAAGTAAAATTCTCCACTTATTCTCTACCTATAACTCACTCATTACTTCACACAGACACTCATCACACTGAACCTTGGATGCAACAGAATCGGTCCACAAGGTGTACAATATCTTGCCAATGTTCTCAAAGAAAACAAAGTAACATTCTCTCTTCACTTTTTTTATCGTATCACTGACTCATCATTTCACGCAGACACTCAACACACTAGACTTGACAGGAAATCAAATTGGTCCACAAGGAGTAGAACATCTTGCCAATGCTCTAAAAGAAAACAGGGTAACATTCTTCTCTTATATTCTTATCCTATTCGTGACTCATTATTTCACATAGACACTCACTACACTGATTCTCTACGACAATCAAATCGGTCCACGAGAAGCACAACATCTTGCTAATATTCTAGAAGAAAACAAAGTAACATTCTTCCTTCATTTTCTTATTCTATGATTGACTCATTATTTCATATAGACACTCACCACACTAAACCTCGACTACAATGAAATCGGTGATCAAGGAGCACAATATCTTGCCGATGCTCTCAAAGAGAACACAGTGACATTATCTCCTCATTTTCTTTTCTTATCACTCACTCATTATTTCACATAGACACTCACCACACTCACCCTTGTAGACAATAAAATTGGTCCACAAGGAGCAGAATATCTTACCAATGCTCTACCAGAAAATGATGTAACATTTTCTTCTCATTTTCTTATCTTATCACTCACTCATTATTTCACATAGACATTGACCACACTGGACGTCGAAAGCAATCGATTCAGTAACCAAGGAGCAGAATATTTTGCTAATATCCTTAAAGAAAACGAAGTAACATTCTTTCTTCAATTTCTTATCCTATCAGATGTACATTGTTTTATACAGACACTCATCACACTCAGCCTTAAACATAATAACATCAGTGAGCAAGGAGCAAAATATCTTGCTCATGCTCTCAAAGAACACAAAGTAACATTCTTCTCACATTTTTTGATATTATCACCCATTATTTCATACAGACATTGATCACACTCGACCTTAGTCACAATAAAATCGGTAATGATGGAAAGCGATATATCAAGGATGTACTGAAAAATGATCCAGAACGAAGCCTAATTTTAGATGGGTGATTATAACAAATGACTGTGCGCAGCAATGACGCCGGTTTTGTTTTGAACGATGAACTGATTAGTATTTGATACTGGTCAGTTGTGTATTCGATTTATTGATACTAGTAGTAATTATTATACTTTCAGAATGAGGAACATACTTTAAAATATTCTTTTATTTTACGAGGGTGTAGGTGTGGGTGTCGGTGTCGAGTATGGAGTGTGGGTGTGGGCAAAAGGGTGTGGGTGTGTGGGTGTGGGCAAAAGGGTGTGGGTGTGTGGGTGTGGGCAAAAGGGTGTGGGTGTGTGGGTGTGGGCAAAAGGGTGTGGGTGTGTGGGTGTGGGCAAAAGGGTGTGGGTGTGTGGGTGTGGGCAAAAGGGTGTGGGTGTGTGGGTGTGGGCA